TTTGATGCTGTGCCTTTGTTCGTTATTTAACCAGAAAGCTGAGTAATTTATCTAAAAATATTCAAATAATGAAATTGTTTTATTATATTAATTTTTTATCAAGGTTAGTTTTTTTGAATATAAATCATGATAAAACTTATTGCATTCAAAAAGAATAAGGAGGTAACAAATTCTTTATTTAATCAGAAGATGATTAATTTATCTAAAAATATACAAATAATAAAAAAATATTTGGTTATATTAACCAACTTTTGCCATTTTCTTTCTTTTCATCTTGATAAATTATCAACATTTATATTATTACGATTGTTTTAATCTCGACAATCAAGCTTGTTTCAAGAAAATAAATTCAAATGAATGTCCCGTAACATCTTGTTTATGTACCACTACAATGAAAATTCTTTAGAACTAAACAAACTGCATGTGTAAGCAAACTATGGAAAGGATTCGTTAATACGGAGCACAAATGGGTCATGGATTAACTAATTGCACTTCCAGAGCCCTCCGCCAAAAGGTATTTTTTTATGGATTCATATAAACTGAAATGCTTAACTAAATGATAACCTAATTTTTTAAACAATGAATTATCAAAACATTGAATAAAAATTTATTTTTCAAAAAAGATCGACAATCTAATGAGACATCGATATTAAAAAAGGATGTTGTCATATTATAAATAAAATACAAAATTTGTACTATTTTAGGGGCTGCTTCGGTATTGTTTTGATTTAGCATTTAATTGTTGCTCAGATGATTTAAATTATCAATTCATTTACATACATAGTTTCGCTTCTTTTATTTAGTTGGTATGGCAAATACAAATAATTGTCACAAAATCGTACAATACTTATAAATTAAGTAGCTATTTGTCTTGAATATACAAGAAATAAAAAAAAAACTTTTTCTCAAAAGAATAAGATTCCTCAAGCCTCCAATCTTTTTTTTGGTACTAGTATAGCCTTGGATATTTTATTGCTCATTACAGATGTTCTGGTTGGAGGAAAAGAAATCCGATAGCTTTGATTTTGCTGAATTTTTTTTTTTTTTTTTTGAATTGTTACCGGTTTCACATGTGAAACATATTTATTTAGAATGTTCGTGTGCTTCTTTATTTGTGTAAACATTACGTTGCACTTGCACATATACGTTTTGGTTTCGTGACAAAAAAATATTTTTATTTTTATAACGACGCAGCAAATTTCACGAAACTTCAGTTTGCTGTGCCAGGATTAAAAATATATTACTTGATGAATAAAAATGAGCGAAGGAAATTTTTTTAGCGTCAGATAAAGGGTTAGAAGGAATATTCTCAATAGACTATTACTTATATATAGAATTTTAATTGGAAACATTTCTAAAATATTGAAATTTAAGATCTATTTTATTTAAAAATCAAATTATTTTACGGCTTTCTACTTTCTCCTAACAGTATAACTGGCTTCAAAATTTTTTTTTAGTCAAATTTGTCAACATAAATATTAGCTCTAACAATAAATCGAGCCAATAATTTACAATTGCATTTTGCTATTATGTACCAATTACTCAAATCTGAAAATATTCGCCAAGTGAACTTTAGCGTCTTTAAATATCTGCAACCTTCTCAAATTCATTGATAATTTCGTTGAAACATTAATGTGGATTAATCAAAATTAAATTTTCTTTTAATTTGTTTATATTAATAATTAATAATTTTGTTTATTTAATTCTTTATTTATTCTTTAAATTTTAAGAATAATTAATTGTATAATAAATTTAGAACTTCTTTATACAAAATTGATTATTATTCTTCATATTCAAAAAAAATTTTCAAACATATTATTTTTTCTTTTGCAAAATATATTTTTTCAGTTAAAAATATTGACATATCGACAAAATTACTTTTCCTTAAAGCCTTGAATTCGATTCGTCAAAAGATACCATCAGGAATGTTTAAAGTCAATTTGCTAAATTTTTGATAAAATAAAATAATATTAATTAACTTTAGCATTTTATATGGATATGCTAAATAAAAAATTTTACTTACCATTAAGATATACTAATTCTTTGATAAAATTTATTGCGAAGATTTCATAGTTATGGGGAACGAATAGTCTTTGGAATTGATCTCTCCCATTCCAAATTTATTGCTTGTCTTTTCTTTGATTTGACGGTTGATTTAACATTGTCTACATATGCTTTGTCTGATTGATAGAATAATGTACTTGGTTTAATACAGAATATTTTAGATCTATTATAAAATTTATTGTACATACCATCAAACCTTCGAAGGTTCGATCTATAGAATTAGTTTCGACGACATTTACAGGGATTGTGACTTCATCAATTGTCCTTATTCGATAAAGACCAAACCCAGGTTTATCAAGACACAAAATAGTCATCTTAAATCCTATCAAATATTATGTATTTTTTAGAAATAAAATATACATATTTTTAAAAGAAATTAGCAAGTTTAAAGTTACCTGATATTTGAACTCCATATATTTCTAATTTTTTAAAGGTATCTATATTAAGGAATGAATATTTACTGAAAAATATTCTGATGATACGGTCATGAATATCTTTAAGCATCCGAATCAACTTTTTTCGATCTATTAATGATACAAGGTTTTTAATTCATTCTATAGTA